CTGATAATGCAGTACCGGTTTTAATTACCCTGACAACAGAAGTTCACCGGAAAGGGGACCAAGTGCTGATAGGATAGGATCTGAAATAGGTGGGGTTTTTTTTCGTTTTTTGTTTTTTGGGGTTTTTTTTTTTCGTTTTTTTAAAAATATGCCTATTTATTTTGATCGTTGTTTTGTCAGGATAAAGACAAACTATTGTGCTTCAAACTTCAAATTGCGTTTTTCTCATTCCAATGCTAAATATATTGTAGATTATGCCTATACAATGGATTGGGTACATTCATAATGAATATTTTGCTAATTAAAACTAATGTTGCTAAGACGATGAAATCCCTGTCCCGAAAGAAGTATTTATTACGTTATATAGAAATACATGTGTAACAAAGAAGCCTGCAGAGTTTTCTTTCAATTTTGTATTATTATCATCATCATTATTATATTCATTATTGCAAGTTTTCATCATCAATTACCGGGTAAAGGCGAACAATAGGGTCAACAATAGCAACATGGGATACATATGTACAATATAGTATTGTAATAGTATTCCTATAGAAGAGCTTATACTAAGGAGTTGTGATTTTGATATTACAACAATTGTGTATATTGTGTTATCTCAGATTCGGCTCTCCAATTAAATTGTGACTTATTGCAACATTAGATAATCAGACACTTCCTGAATTCTCACTGGGGAAAAAACTACACATAAATTTTAATACAAATTTCGTTGTGTTTTATTCTGAAATTGTAGTTAATCACATAATCATACTATCGAATCAAAATATTATAATATCTAATTATTCAAACATGTTAATTATATCATTGCCTTATGTTTTGATTAATTTTAACATTATACAGGTTTCCATCAAATTAAAGACCACTTTGAAACAGCTTTAGTCTTTAATTAGAAAACAATATTATTTAGAAGATATAAGATAAGCATTCATTTGGAGCTGTAGAAAGGACGTCATTAATTGGAAATGGTCTTTCATTGGAAGGGTCTTTATTTGTTTTG